GGTAAATAAAGTTTTTATTTGGTACCCCGTCGAAAAATAACGGTTTTTCGCAAATATGACCTTGACCTTTGACCTCGATCGGCGATTTTGTTGATTGTGACGCATCCTTGTGTGGCGGCACATGTTTTGTGTAAGTTTCAGCCCGATCGGACGGTAAATAAAGTTTTTATTTGGTACCCCATCGAAAAATAACGGTTTTTCGCAAATATGACCTTGACCTTTGACCTCGATCGGCGATTTTGTTAATTGTGCCGCATCCCTGTGTGGCGGCACATGTTTTGTGTAAGTTTCAGCCCGATCGGACGGTAAATAAAGTTTTTATTTGGTACCCCGTCGAAAAATAACGGTTTTTCGCAAATATGACCTTGACCTTTGACCTCGATCGGCGATTTTGTTGATTGTGACGCATCCCTGTGTGGCGGCACATGTTTTGTGTAAGTTTCAGCCCGATCGGACGGTAAATAAAGTTTTTATTTGGTACCCCGTCGAAAAATAACGGTTTTTCGCAAATATGACCTTGACCTTTGACCTCGATCGGCGATTTTGTTGATTGTGACGCATCCCTGTGTGGCGGCACATGTTTTGTGTAAGTTTCAGCCCGATCGGACGGTAAATAAAGTTTTTATTTGGTACCCCGTCGAAAAATAACGGTTTTTCGCAAATATGACCTTGACCTTTGACCTCGATCGGCGATTTTGTTGATTGTGACGCATCCCTGTGTGGCGGCACATGTTTTGTGTAAGTTTCAGCCCGATCGGACGGTAAATAAAGTTTTTATTTGGTACCCCGTTAAAAAATAACGGTTTTTCGCAAATATGACCTTGACCTTTGACCTCGATCGGCGATTTTGTTGATTGTGACGCATCCTTGTGTGGCGGCACATGTTTTGTGTAAGTTTCAGCCCGATCGGACGGTAAATACAGTTTTTATTTGGTACCCCGTCGAAAAATAACGGTTTTTCGCAAATATGACCTTGACCTTTGACCTCGATCGGCGATTTTGTTGATTGTGACGCATCCTTGTGTGGCGGCACATGTTTTGTGTAAGTTTCAGCCAGATCGGACGGTAAATAAAGTTTTTATTTGGTACCCCGTCGAAAAATAACGGTTTTTCGCAAATATGACCTTGACCTTTGACCTCGATTGGCGATTTTGTTGATTGTGACGCATCCTTGTGTGGCGGCACATGTTTTGTGTAAGTTTCAGCCCGATCGGACGGTAAATAAAGTTTTTATTTGGTACCCCGTCGAAAAATAACGGTTTTTCGCAAATATGACCTTGACCTTTGACCTCGATCGCCGATTTTGTTGATTGTGACGCATCCTTGTGTGGCGGCACATGTTTTGTGTAAGTTTCAGCCCGATCGGACGGTAAATAAAGTTTTTATTTGGTACCCCGTCGAAAAATAACGGTTTTTCGCAAATATGACCTTGACCTTTGACCTCGATCGGCGATTTTGTTGATTGTGACGCATCCTTGTGTGGCGGCACATGTTTTGTGTAAGTTTCAGCCCGATCGGACGGTAAATAAAGTTTTTATTTGGTACCCCGTCGAAAAATAACGGTTTTTCGCAAATATGACCTTGACCTTTGACCTCGATCGGCGATTTTGTTGATTGTGACGCATCCTTGTGTGGCGGCACATGTTTTGTGTAAGTTTCAGCCCGATCGGACGGTAAATACAGTTTTATTTGGTACCCCGTCGAAAAATAACGGTTTTTCGCAAATATGACCTTGACCTTTGACTTCGATCGGCGATTTTGTTGATTGTGACGCATCCTTGTGTGGCGGCACATGTTTTGTGTAAGTTTCAGCCCGATCGGACGGTAAATAAAGTTTTTATTTGGTACCCCGTCGAAAAATAACGGTTTTTCGCAAATATGACCTTGACCTTTGACCTCGATCGGCGATTTTGTTGATTGTGACGCATCCTTGTGTGGCGGCACATGTTTTGTGTAAGTTTCAGCCCGATCAGCCGGTAAATAAAGTTTTTATTTGGTACCCCGTCGAAAAATAACGGTTTTTCGCAAATATGGCCTTGACCTTTGACCTCGATCGGCGATTTTGTTGATTGTGACGCATCCCTGTGTGGCGGCACATGTTTTGTGTAAGTTTCAGCCCGATCGGACGGTAAATACAGTTTTATTTGGTACCCCGTCGAAAAATAACGGTTTTTCGCAAATATGACCTTGACCTTTGACTTCGATCGGCGATTTTGTTGATTGTGACGCATCCTTGTGTGGCGGCACATGTTTTGTGTAAGTTTCAGCCCGATCAGACGGTAAATAAAGTTTTTATTTGGTACCCCGTCGAAAAATAACGGTTTTTCGCAAATATGACCTTGACCTTTGACCTCGATCGGCGATTTTGTTGATTGTGACGCATCCTTGTGTGGCGGCACATGTTTTGTGTAAGTTTCAGCCCGATCAGACGGTAAATAAAGTTTTTATTTGGTACCCCGTCGAAAAATAACGGTTTTTCGCAAATATGGCCTTGACCTTTGACCTCGATCGGCGATTTTGTTGATTGTGACGCATCCCTGTGTGGCGGCACATGTTTTGTGTAAGTTTCAGCCCGATCGGACGGTAAATAAAGAAGTACCTTATTGTTGTTTATAGCCAGAGAGGTTTTTTGCCCCTAGAGGTCAAAATATTTGACCTAGGAAAAAATGAGTGATATTTTTGGAATCAGCGTGTCAAGGTCTATCGTTTGGCATAGTTTGGCGATGTTTTGAACTCGACGCTGAAAACGAATACGAATACGACGCTAACTTGATGGACATGCTTTTTACGCGAGTTATTCGCGAAAAACCATGGGGGGGTCCGTTCGACCCCCCCCCCCCCTATACGGGCGAGGGTTAAGGTCCTAGGTCATTGGTTGACCTTCCAGGCCAGGTCAATGACCCAAAAGTCGGGAAAATCGGGCCCTGTTAGAACCGTCGTTAAGAGTGGCTGCTACGAGTATTGGGTTTTTCGGAATGCTGATCATTAGTTTTGATCGCAGATGATGTCTTCAATTTCATGCATTTGGGCCAGGTCGGGCCAGACGGTCAGGTCAGGTCAACTAGGGGTCGTGCCGGATATTCGTAGTAGTGTTAGCCGCCTCTGACAGCTTCGTAACATGTTAACCCTATTAGTGGCAGGCTCCTGGCTACCCCTATTAGTGGCAGTGGGGCTGTTTACGACCCCCCCCCCCCTTGATATCTCGAGATCTAACGGGCCGATTTTCAAAATTCAAACGGCATTCGATTTCGCTCAACGTGATCTACATTTCTAAAAAATAAAAAGTAAAAAAGTCAATAGGGGGGGGTAGAGGGGGGTAAAAACGGGCAAATTGCAGATACATTTTAGACTGTTTATCACGGCCAGGTTTCTGAACCAATCTTAACGCAACTTTTGCCGATCGATAGAGAATGAACCAGGAATTCACATGGATCCTAAAAATATGCATTTTCAAAAATCATAGGCGGATACAGATCATTGAGATTGGGGGTACACAAAAAGTATAGTAAATAAGGTTTTTGTTGGTACTGTTTCTAAAAAGGGTGGTAATGGTCTTGTTCCATAAGTGCGAGGGTTAGTCTGCGCCCCACCAAGCGTCCTTGATTTCCACGCGCTGCTGGGGGGGGGGGGTGTTTGAACACCCCTCCCTTCCTTGGTCTGCCGAGCAACGCGCCCTGCTGGGGGCCGGGGGCATTTTGCCCCTCCCCCCCTAATTAAGATCTGAACCACGCAAGATAGTGACAAGCAGCAAACGGTGTTTGATAGCCCCAACAGGAAATTACCTTGTGACCCAATTTCATTGACCTAGGTCAAACCGATGACGTCACAGGTCAGGTCAAATGTCGATTTTTCACCGTTTACAGGCATTGAAAGAAATGCGTTGTAAAATCGAGTAAAATGCATTTCATTGAAAATTATCGATGGGGAAATGTTCGTCAAAGACGTATTTTGCTATTTGAGGTCACTGATACCAGGTCAGGTCACAGAGGTCAGGTCACTGAGGTTCACATATGAAAATTCATTTGATGCATGTTTTATGGTCCGTTTTATATGCCAAATACGATTATGTGGGTCAGGCAGCCTTTAGGGTCAGCTGAGACTATGTTCTGGTGAAGGTCAGGTCAAGGTCAGGTCAAGGTCAGGTCAAGGTCAGGTCAAGGTCAGGTCAAGGTCAGGTCAAATTAGGTCAAATTTCAAAGTTGATATTTTTGCATAAAATGGGTATTGATTCGATGCAGCTCGTCACGGGGAGTTCAATGGTGGTCTTTGTTTTGCGCTAGGTGGTCTAGAATTGCTAAGAATTGCTTTTAAAAAATCGCTAGGTATAGCTTGGCCAAAAAAGGAGGTACCTATCGATCTAAAATTTGGTATGTATATAGAAGAGCGCAGGGACTATCACATATACTCCGTTTTTTCGAAATTCGGGAAATTTTGAATTTTTTTTTCGTTTTTTCTGAAAAAAATCAATTTTTGCATTTTTGGAGATTAAAATCCCAAAATAGGCCGACCTATGGTAGCTACGAAGTTCATATTTTGACTCAAGGTGTCAAATTGATGCAGACGAAGGTACTGATAGTTTGGCGTCGATACGTCAAGTGGTTTGGAAGTTATTGCAGAAAAATGGGAGGGGGCTATGAATAGCCCCCCGCCCCCACAGTGGGGCGCGGGACATCAGTCCCCCGAGTTTGCTGTCCAGCGCTTCCCTTTCTACCACAGCGGTCAGCGGTCACCAATATCCCCGCCCGGATACACCGTGGCGGCCGGCGCGCTGCCGGGGTCGGCTGGGCCGCCTCTCCGGCTGCTCTGCCGGCCAGGTACACCCGCTCTGACCACCCAGCCTCCATCGATCCCCAGCCTCCGGACGGTAGCGACTAAAACGAACACGCATCGATTCGCGTGCGCCGATCGACCCTGAGCGAGCGGGCGCGCGCGAGCGGCGCGCACGGCCGCTGTTCTGGCCGCCGGCCGCACGCGGCGCCGCCAGTCGACGGCGGGCGCCGGCCGCGCCGCCATGAGCTACTGGGCCCGCACAGTGGACCCTTCGTTCAGCGCACCGGAGCCGAGCTTCGAGCCGATCCGTGCTGAGCTGGTGGCCGGCCCGCCGCCCGACAGCCCGGTCCGCGGCCGGTGCACGAGCGTGGCGGTGCGCGGCTGCCGCTGTGTGGGTCTCGTGCTGCTGGTGCTCATTGTGTGGCTGATCGGGGCGCACTTCTGGTCGGTTCATAACAGGAGAGCGGCGGCGGAGGAGGACAAGACACGGGTGCAGGTGAGTCGCTGGCTGCAGCGCGGTCTAACGCTGTGGCGAGGGGAAATTCACTTGAGCCTCGCTGTTTTGAAAGGATAGCAAATGAGCCTGGATGGTTTTTGTTCTAAAAATGGAGATTTATGCTTGGATTCTGAAGAAGGAGGACATTGGAACTATTTAGTTATTTAGGTGAATGTCTGCCTACCTGTAGGACGTGCCTAAGAAGTCTTAGTTTATTGTAATGGCGGCTCGATGCTGTCTGCTGCTCAAAACTTCGGACTGTTTTATGGCTTTGCATGTCCTTAGGAGCGTAACTATAACGAGAGCTGAGCCTGTTCGAATGACCCCTACATTTCTCATCACCTATGCTATGTCTGGCATGCTCCATAACGTTGATGGGATATGTGGTAGTGCACGTTACGAATAATAAACACCAAACCCGTGCGTATGTCCATTTTGTAAATGGGTGTCTGTGTTCACGGGCTAAGCGCACCGATACTTGTATGTTGACAAACAAGCAAAAATGACAGCGTAGCTCAATAATATCATCGTAGCTCGATGGTCTTTATCACCTGACCTGAGCATCCACACACCTTATCAGTTGGTGGCGCTTAGCGTGATATCAGTCATCCAGCGCCAGGCATAATTGCATACGTGGCTGCGTTTTCGAAGATTGCCCACTGCAGAGACGCAAATTTCAGACCAGAGTACGAGCGGCCGGCCATCAAAACTGATTCAGAATAGGAAGAGGGCTGATTGTGGCATGCCTATTGCCTTAGCTCAAGTAAGTGAGGCAGATGATGGGGTATCTACCTATGCAGGCATTGTAGGTAGGTATTGCATATTGCAAGTCATTGCATTTGTATCGATGGGATAAGAAATAATAACGAAAATAAGAAATAAATAAATCAGCTGCTCGAGTCACATACATATACGGGTATGTATAGTTAGGCGTGAGATTTTCTTCAAACATTGCGTTCCTAGATCGATGACGCACCTCACCGTGTTTAACCCTCGCCCATGTAGGGGGGGTTGGTGCAACCCCCCCCTGAGGTTTTTCGGAAATAGTGCAAAAACGGCGGCGCGCAGCGCCGCCAAATTTTGGGTACCTTATGGGGCAAACCTTGCGCATCTTTTGATAAAAAAAAATTTGACCGGGTCATGTCAGGTCACGGAGTTATGACGTCACAAAGGGAACAGCCTCCGGCCGGATTTTCACAAACTGAGTGCAAACGCCCGAGGTTTCCTGCCGGTGGTACGGACATCGGTTGATGGATCGTGATGAAACTTCCCATGCATGTTGGGGCAAGTATTGGCTATCATATGGTATAAGAAACTTGACCGGGTCAGGTCAGGTCACGGAGCTATGACGTCACAAGAGGAACAGCGTCCGGTACTATTTTTGAAAAGCGCCCGAACCACTATTTTGCTAATTCTTGTCACCTCAATGGGAATATGCAGCAATATTAGCTTCTATAGGGAGCAAATGGACATCCCAAATCCAAAAATACAATCAGATTTCAAAAATTTAAATTCTGATTTTTCGAATTTCTGCCGCCGACTGTGACCTTGCCGACTTCCGGCGCTCCCAACGCGCCATTTTTAGAGCTAGGGAAACGAAATACATACCAAACGATAGAGAATTGATCAAGGAACACGATAGTGAAGGTTTCAAGTCGATATCTCTCACCGTTTTGCCGCAATCGCCGCGGAAAATTTGAAAAAGTCTATTTTTCCGAAAATTTGACCTTTGACCGGTCAAAAGTAGGTCAAATGTTGACCTAGGACCAAAAAATATACCACCAATCGCGAGATCTCGGCGAGAGCAATCCGTTGGTCTTTTCCGCTAAGCTCTACGACGCTCCGTTTTCAAACGCCAAGGGGGGGTCGCACCAACCCCCCCCCCCCCCCTGCATGGGCGAAGGTGGCAGATCGCCGTTTACGGGCGAGGGTTAAATCTCTGCATCCGTCATCTCAGGGCTGCTCGATATAAAGCTCGCTGCGCCGGCGCCGCGTGCGGGATAAAGTGCCAGATTAAAGTGGGAGCAGCTGAGAGGAAGATCTATGGAGTCGGTCGGGAGGCGTGGGTGGACGTCGCGCTCGCACCGGAAGCAATCGGTGGAAGATGAACGATGGCGGACTGGAGCGGGAGGGAGGTGGTTTTGGCCAGTAGTCCTGGAACGCTGAGGATTTCTAGGTCTTGTTCGGGGATACTTATTCTTTACTGATGTGACCACGGGCGTGTTAGAACTTTCTATATATAAAAAAAAACAGCGCACGGATAAAGATTACGCAGAGCAGTATTTAACCCTTTGTTTCACTTGTTATTGTTTGAACGCTTGCACTCTGTAGGCGTTTAAATCCTATGCGGGCCATGTGCCGTCCTACCAACTGGCATATGACAAACAATAGTGGTAGTGAATTTGCCATAAATGCCCATGACAATCGAACGATCGTAACCGCATATCGTTTAATGGGGCAATGCTGCCTTTGTCATTATGGTAAATACAGAAATAAGTAATACGGAATTTCCAGTGATTGAAACAATACCATTAGGTCCATTAGTCTCACCATCGAGTTATTATCGTCAGTGTAGAAGACAGCAAACATTAACACATTTACGTTTCTGTTTTTCCTAAATTACTACTATGGCTTGCACTTTGTTCTGGCAATTTTAGCTAGCTTCCTAGCTTGTTTTTGTTACATATGGCATGATACCTAATGTTTTTGTTTCATAGCTTTTCATTACCTATTTCAAAGCTGAAGCGTTGCAATGTAGTTGTCCCTTGGTCCTTCCTGAGTTTTGATTTATGATTCAATTCCCGTTCATAATTAGGTAAGGCAGAGGTGTATTAATTAAAAGCAAGACTCAATCGCACGGAACCTCACAAACAATGTGAGTGCACGAACTCAGCGTTGCAAAGGGTATTGCATATGCCACTGAGCGAAGCCATCCTTCATTCCGACCTCGGCCGATCAATGAAAGGTCGCTGGCCCGTCAGCTGCTGTTCGATGGCTACTGCATGTGCAAACTTTCCAGCCGAAAGGCCTCCTGTCAATGCAGCAGTGCAGGCGACCTCCAACAGCCAGACATTTCTAAACAGCTGCCTTAGTTCGAGCTGTTGAACGTGTTGAACTGTCTCCATAAAAAGTAGCCGCCTACATCTGTTCGTATCTGGCATTGATGGTTTGACACAGCTGTCAAAGCTCGTTTGCTTCATTCATCATCCAGTTTGTTAGCAGCCTCGCACCTTGCCAATCAAAAACAAAGGACGACGAGCGTGCCAAATGACCCAGATGGCAGAGAACATGAAAAAGGTGCAGCTCAATCAAAAAATATACTTGTTCAGTTTTTGTCTAACACGTTTCAGGAGTTACAATCAAGTCATGCATTAGTTGAGCTGTACAAAACTCATTTCAAAACTAGTATTTCACAGCCATCCAGGAAAGCTTAAGCAAAAATTAGGTATTGCTTCCATCGTTTTGATTTTTGTGGTCTCTATAACTGCCAAAATATGCATATTGTGTTTCCTTGCAACGCACTCTTGCAAATTATCTACGTGAATCGATCAAATGATATTGCCAATTTGCCACTCGCTGCTGAACGAAAGAAAAACAGCTTACTAAATCGGGACGGTGAATTGCTCGTTTTTTTCTTAATCACACCGTTAAACATAAGAATCTGAATGCCTTACGTGTACCTATACTAAGCTCCTAATTCACAAATCATTATCTAAAACTAATATCGGTCTGCCAAGATAAAGCCGAAAGGCAGCACTTTGAATGGGACTTCGCTATCGCCTTTTCAGATAAATCCATAAACGGCTTGCACACCGAGTATTGGCTCATCGGCATAAATCAATACGGCACTGGAGGCTGTCAGAATTGGTGCATGTCGACAGTCCAAGACTGACAGTTTACTGCAGCCTGCAGCCGTCAACTTTGCGGCAACTTTGGCAGCCAAAAGGAGAGCTGCAGCCGAGCTGGAACGGCGGAATAGGAATGTTCATCATATAACAGACTCGTCGCTGAAAATGGTCTCTTCTCTGAAATGGAGTCGCTTCTGGCGGGCCGCCCGGCGGCTGATTATGGTAGTGGCCACCGCTCAGCGCCGTGCCGGATGTTACGGTGCATGCTTTAGCAGGTTATCGTCTGAATATCACCCCTTTTGGCTGCATAGATGTTTTTGATCAGAGACGAATTGTGTCAGCGCCGGGAAGTTGCACAAACTCGTTTCAGAAATGCATATTTGATGTTTTGTATGACTATTGACTACATGAATCTTGTACCCGTGAAATCAGTGGCGTAGCAATGGTGCTGTCTTAAAATGTAATTGATTTTATTTTTGAAACATTAGCTATATGTTCGGGTTTCTTTTCCGCGTGCACGATGTGAAGTTGAGACGTTTCAATTTAATGTTTGGTCAAATTGCCTTTGATTTGCCCGTTTTAGAATCAGAGTGGAAATTTAACTGAGAAAACGTTATAATGGACCGCTGCATGACTAAAAATGTAGCTGACAACCAGGGATGCGGAGCCGTGGAAATTTCAGACGGCTCCGGCTCCGGCTCCGGCTCCGGAGAAAAAAATCGGCTCCGGCTCCGGCTCCGGCTCCGGGTGAAATGTCATTGCGGCTCCGCCTCCGGCTCCGGCTCCGAGTAAAATGATCCGGCTCCGGCGGCTCCGGCTCCGGCTTCTACTCAGACTCATTACATCCCCTATGCGATCAATTAACCCATTAATGCCGCTTGGGTCATATATGACCCAAAAGCAACATCTTAACATTTTTTCTAAATGGAGGCAAGTACGGGTGGAAGAAAAAAGGCGATGGGCCGGATTGGTACACGTTGCTTCTGTATTTGTATAACAAGGCTATTTTGAATACCACATTGTTTTACGCCTTGTACTGTCAAACCGAACTAGGTAAATAATTGTTTCCTCTTAAGAAAAGGAGCCGGAGTCGCCCCCTTTTTGACGGCTCCGGCTCCGCTCCGGCTCCGGGCTATATTGTTTCACGGCTCC